CCCGGGCGGGTGTGTCAGTGCCTGGGAGCAGGTAGAAGAGCAGTGTGTGTGTGTGTGTGTGTGTGTGTGTCAGTGCCTGGGGGAGGGGTGGAGAGTCTCAGTGCCAGGGGTGCGGAAGCCTTATTGTGTGCTGAAGGGGTGACTGAGAACTGGGGGGGAGTCTCTATGTGGGAGCATGGATAAGAGCAGGGTGTGTGTCTGTGTCTAGTGCCTATGGGCCAGGGAGGGTAAGATGGGATGGGGGAGGTGTCAGTGTCTGTGGCAGAGATATGTGAGAGCCTGGGGATGCTGGTTTCAGTGGAGATGTGTGTGAATGGAGAGGTCATTTCAGTACCTAGAGAGTTGGGGGAATCAGTAGGAGCACTACTGGGATGAGCTGAAGACCACCTTGTTTTGTAGGACCAGAGTCTGCTAGTTGGGTACCTTTCCCTGCCTGTGGAAAGTTATCACCCATCTAAGGCCTCTTTGCTATCAGCATGCTGACTTCTCCCCAGTGCCTATGTGCTCCTTTACTTCCCCTGAATCACAGTGATGTATATTTGTATTGCAAAACTTGGTTCATCTCCCCACCCCAAACATAATGCACTTTGTAAAAAAAACTGTGCCCTGTGCTAAATTGTGCTAATAGTCCACATGCATATTGCATGATGGTTTCATTATAATTAATATGCTATGCTGAAAATGTTATTAGTAACATACCCTATAGCTGTCTGTGAAGACCAGTGGAGAACTTGTATCAGCCTATCCAGGAAAAGAAAGTAAAGTAAGATCAAGGCAGGTTCCAAACCTTAAAATACTGTACTGAACAGCAGCAGCCACCACACTAATGTATACCTACAAAAAAGTCGCACAAAAAATGAAAACTGCTCATGTTAGTTTGTGGTGGCACAGGATGAAAGGCATGAAGGTTGTGGAGAGTATCCTATGGCCATGGACCACATATGGCCCATCAGGTTTCTATTTGTGGCTCGCAAGACATTTTATTTACTGTTGCCCACATACAGGGTTGCCACATTCTGCTGGTTTTCACCCATGTAGGTTTTTTCCTACCGGTATTACTAAAATAACATGCATGTTAAGTAAGGGCATGTGAAGTGAGGTGCATACTGATTGCAAAATGTTGACTGTGGAAGCTGTGTGCTCCCTCTGCATCTGATCAAAGTGCTATGGTTCAGTTGGCATACTCCTCAAATTCTAGATATGCAAACACAAATAACAAAACTACACTATTCCAGGAAACCATCTTGGATATGACAATCTTGCCACCCTCTGAAACAAGTCAACACAATTTGTATCGATTGCATAATTAGTCGATAAGGGGGCTCCTCTGCAGAGCCATAGTGGGGGTAGCTCCTGGAGCTGGCTTGAACCTGGACTGAGAAGTCCCAGCTTGTGCTAGTGCTGGACCGCTGCGGCTCTGCATTTTAAATGTACTAAGAGCCACCTTAAAAAGCAGAGGCACAGTGGTCCCGGACCAGCGCAAGCCAGGACTGCTCGATCCCAGCTGGGCCGGGTCCAGCAGCCCATCTTCATGATGGCCTGGGCCGGCCGCGGGCAAAGGCTGCTCTCGCAGCCCCCTGCTTGCAGCCAGCCCTGGTTACAACAAATGGGCTGCTTGGCAGCTGCTGTCCAAGGCGGGGCCCAGCTCCCTTCTGGGTCTCCCGCAGACAGGGGCTACTGCTGGAGCAGCCTCCCTTATCTACCGCGTTGTCTCTGACAGAGGCAGCTGGGAGCAAAGGGGCAGGCAGCACCATGGAGACTGTGCTGGGAGTAGCCAGATTTTAAGCCTCTCATACAGAGCTTATGCTTATTGGGTTGTCGAATAGCTGACTACTTGCTTACATCCCAACACTGAGATGAAGAAGGACTACTCATGCAGCCCACTTACTACCGTGGGTTGCCCATTGCTGGTCTAGGACATTAAAGTTTTTGAGGATAATAAGCTAAGGAGTAAACAGATACAGTGAAGTCTTTCAGGCAACATGTCACTATGCCTCGGTGGGCTAATCAAGCTGAGGATTTCAGGTCCAAGACAAACCGCTGAGAAACAGAGTAGTCTCACCCTAACTAGTGATAGAAACCTAACTGGTGGTTATACTTCCATAAGATACACCAACCTAGTAACATAAATAAATTATCTCAGGTCCCTGGTTAACAAGAAGTCTGAATAGCAGTCTTCTTAGGCATTCCAGCCCTTGTTTTACAACCCAACCTCTATCTAGACCCGTGGTGTCCTACACACTAGCCACTAAGCCACAAGTGGCTATTTGGCCAGTTGAGTGTGGCTAGTTGGCTGGTTGAACTATGTTGTTAGTTCTCTGTAGCAATAGCCACTATAGTGGCTACTGCTTCAGAACTGGTTGGACATCATGGATGTAGACTATATCATGAGTGGTTCTTTAAGACCAATTTAATCAAACAAAGGTTTTTTATAATCCCAAGAGATCATCCACACAGGTCACAATTTAATTCAGATTTTACATAATAATCACACCATTGGCACTCCTTGGTTGCGTCTAGACTGGCAAGATTTTGTGCAAAAGCGGCCGCCTGTCTACACTGGCCATGAGTATTTGCGCAAGAACACTGACTTTGTACTGTACAAAATCAGTGGTTCTTGCGCAAATACTTTGACACTCCCACTCAGGGATAAGCCCTCTTGAGCATGAATTCTTGTGCAAGATGGCCAGTGTAGACAGGCAAGTTAATTTCTTGCGCAAGAAAGCCCGATGGCTAAAATGGTCATTGGCGCTTTTTTGCGTAAGAGAGCGTCTACACTGGCATGAATGCTTTTTCACAAAAGCATCCGTGCCAGTGTAGACGCTCTCTTGCGCAAATACTTTTAACTGAAAAACTTTTCCATTAAAAGTATTTGCGCAAAATCATGCAGTCTAGACACAGCCCTTTTGTATCTAATATTTAAAGGTTTTTATATATAAGAGAAAAGAAAGAGGGGAAAGTTAAAATAACCCAGGAAAACAAATACATACACTTGACACATTTCAAAGTTTATCATATTTGAAGCAGAAATGTTAGAGATTGTTGGCTTGTACAGACTTTATCCTCAGTTCATTGGTTAGAATGCTCTTTTTACTGTAAGTCCATACTCCAAAGATCAGAGCAGGTAAGAAGCAAAATGGAGATGCTTCCAGGGACTTGTATATATTCTCCCATGTGGAGGGAACTTCTTAGTTTGTGGGAATTTACAGGTGCAAGATGGAGTCCAAGGTCCCATGCAGAGGAATATTTACAGGGCCCTGGGCCCAGAGCAAGTGGGGGCCCCTCCTCACCCCTTCCACCTGTGGTCTCATCCCTGTTCTGCCCTCTCCACATATGACCCTAACCCACTGCCCCGCCACTTTCTGCCTCTTCTTGGGACCTCACCCCTTCTGTCTCTCCACAGTGGCCTCAAGACTGGAAAAGCTCTGTCTGAGAGCTCTTCTATTCTCAGGGCTGCAGTGGAGGGCCCACTGCTGGGGTTTCCCTCCTTTACTCCCAGGCTGCTGCTGGGTTCGGCAGGGGGCACTGGGATTTGGCCTCACCACCACACCTGGTGCTGCTGCCAGAGAGTTGGGCACCTATGTTATTGTGCCTGGATGATAACCAGGGAATAGGGTTGCAGTCAAGAGGTGCTTCCCCTACCACTGCCCTGTCACCTTTACCCTGCTTTGCTGCCTGGGAGTGAAGTTATGGTGCAGGGGCTTTTCCCACCTTCCCAGGACTCCAGGACCCCCCATTTGGTCATTGGGCATGTGACCAGTGGCAGATTAGCTACTGTGCGTATGGGGCACATGCCCTTGCATGCTTTGATAACTCACGGGAGTGGCTATTACCAATATTTTGGCTAAAGTGACCACAAAAAATCTCATGGGATGGGGATGAGCTGCCTTTGTGGCTCATGCTAAGAGTGAAGTGTTCCTTAATAGGCCATCAACTTGAATAGTTCATGTGTTGCTCATGTGTTGCTCAGACTGGATACAAATTGTCTTGAGGACGTTACTACTGGAATAAACACATTTGAAATACAGGTATTGAGTCAATATTCATACTTTTAGATGCAAGGATGATACATGTATACAAACAAGATCATCGTATTTGTTAGACTGTAACTTATCCATTGATATCTTACATGACATACTTTGTATAAAATGTGTTGCAATTCTCTAAAAGTGACAATATTAATGATTAAATGGTCATATTGCAATAAATAAACACCATACAACATAATTCAAGAATCAAAATAGATTTTTTTTTAAACAAATATAAATTTTGCTTGGAAGAGAAGAGCAAGATCCTGATCATGAACAAACAGGAGCTTAAAGTCTTGTTGTCATCTGATAAACCAACTAAAGTCTAATAAAAGAGAGAAATGCCTGAATGTTTTAAACAGCAGGAACTAAAATAGTCTGATCAGGTTATTACTTTCATACTATCTCTTGAAGGCTAACTTGACAACAAGAAGGATTTATTATGTACGATATAATGTATTTAGTCTTTGTTCTGTTCATTTACAGATCCACTTCAAAATTTTGAGAGGACACACTGATATTGTGAGCTCCTGCCATTTCTGTTTTGAAGATACAAAAATCCTTTCTTGCTCTTATGACAAAACAGTGAAACTCTGGGTATGTCATGAATCTGTAACAATCCAGCAGTCACACCATAATTTCTAAACCAAGCAAACAATGTCCTATAAGAATGGAGGTTGAGTGACTCATCAATTGACCTTCTAAACATCTTTTTATTTCACAGGCACAATTACAGTGATAATGCTCCTATTACATACTTTAATATACTTCATGTAAGCACCTGGAGATAAATGACCTTTCCCCCCCCCAATTACTTACAAAAACCTAGTCTCTCACTCACCAAAGCACTTATGTATGTAGGTGGACTCTATTGACTTCAGTAAGACTTGCATTTCAAATGCTTTGCTGAATAACTGTGGACTTATACAAATGCTTACTTTCCATTATATCTTAAGAAATTTTCTGAGAAGTTTTCTAGTTAAAGTTTGGGAATAAATGAAGAATACAGCTTTGCTTATCACAAGATCAGGCACTTACAGGCTACGTCTACACTGGCCCCTTCTCCGGAAGAGGCATGCTAATTTCAAACTTTGGAATAGGAAAATCCGCGGGGGATTTAAATATCCCCCGCGGGATTTAAATAAACATGGCCGCCACTTTTTTTTCCGGCTTGGGGAAAAGCCGGAAAAGAGCGTCTAGACTGGCGCGATCCTCCAGAAAAGGGCTTTATTCCGGAGGATCGCGCCAGTCTAGACGCTCTTTTCCGGCTTTTCCCCAAGCCGGAAAAAAAAGCGGCAGCCATGTTTATTTAAATCCCGCGGGGCATATTTAAATCCCCCGCGGATTTCCCTATTCCAAAGTTCGAAATTAGCATGCCTCTTCCAGAGAAGGGGCCAGTGTAGACGTAGCCACAGTGTTCAACAGCTTTGGGGTATTCAAAAAGACAGGACTCATTCCATTTTTAGCTCTTCCCATGAAACAACTGAAGAGTCCTTACCTTTTATGATAGGTTTCAAGGCAGGTTTCAAGGCAGATAATCATGATTACAAAGGTGGAGTTAAAGTTAATATTTGTAGGAGACAACATAGCAAGTTAATGTATCCAGCTATGTGGCTCATTAAGATGTTCTCAGTTTAATGTTGATAACTCCATCACATTGTCAGAACTACACACTCACTCCTCATTCTATCATAGAACTGGAATTTGCAAAGTATAGCTTCTTTTAATGAAAAGCTGATATCAAACTTTCATGTTGAGATTTAAATCAAAACAAAAAAAATAAGATAATTGTGAACTCTTCCTTAAATAAACTAGATGGAAGAGAGTCACAAACCTCTTCATTAAAAAGAGAATATAATGTACCAAATATTTTTTTCTCACGTGTGGAAGATTAGCACTATCTGATGTGACTTGCATATTTCAGGAACAGTCGTGTGAGAATATTTTTATCTAGTGCTGAGAGATTTTTTTTTGTAAGGACTTGTCTTCACTTCAGGGAAGATTGGTGCTCTAGAGGTTGATCTTGCAGCATTTGTTTTAGCGGGTCTGGTAGAGATCCGCTAAATCAAATGCTGAGGGCTCCTCCATCTGCAGGTATGAGGGGTAAGGAAAGTTAACATGAAAGTTTCTCCCTTGGACCTCCCACTGTGGGGCCACCCCAGAAAATTGATGCAAGGTACATTGATTCCAGCTACACAATTCACATAGCTGGAGTTACGTATTTTGCATTGATTTTATATCTGCAAGTGTAGACCTGGCTTCAAGTGCTATCAAAGAGAATCTGCCTCAATATTGAGGGATTATTCATAGGCAACACAGAAGAGAGACAATGGTTCATATATCCTGATAACTTCTACTTTGTCAAGACAGCTCTGATTTCCTCATCTGTAGGAGTAACTGGGCCAATAATCTTTCATAAAAGGCCAGTTTTGATCACAAAGAGCTAGTGAAACTGTAAATTCTAGTTTGAATTGTTTCTTTTGAAAGAGAAGTTATCAAAAGTGTATCTGAGAAAATATTTGGAATTGCTCTTGTGACTAGAAAGTGATTGGGCAATAAAGTGGCAAATGAAATTAAATGTTGATAAATGTAAAGTAATGCACACTGAAAAAAGTAATCTGAACTGTACATACAATATAATGGGAACTAATTTTGTTACAACTACTCAAAAGAGAGATCTTGGAGTCGTTGCGGATAGTTCTCTGAAAACATCCACTCGTGTAGCAGCAGTCAAAAAAGAAAATAGAATGTTAGAATAATTTAAAAAGGGTAGAGAATAGACGGGGAACATCTTATTCCCTCTATATAAAATCATGGTATGCCCACATCTTGAATACCGTGTACAGATGTGATTGCCTCATCTCAAAAAAGATATATTGGCATTGGAAAAGGTTCAGAAAAGGGCAACAAAAATTATTAGGGACTTGAAAGGGTCCCATATGAAGAGAGATTAAAAATACTGGGAGTTTTCAGCTTAGAACAGAGGAGACTAAGGGGGATATGATAGAGGTCTATAAAAATCATGACTTGTGTGGGAAAAGTGAATAAGGAAAAGTTATTTACATATTCCCACAATATAAGAACTAGGAATCACCAAATGAAATTAATAGGCAGCACGTTTTAAACAAACAAAAGGAAGTTTTGCTGTACTCAGTGCACAGTCAACCTGTGGAACTCCTTGCCAGAGGATGTGGTGAAGACTAGGTTTTGAACCCTGTTAAAATAAGAGCTAGACAGATTCACGGAGGTTAGGTCCATCAATGGCTATTAGCCAGGAAGGGTAGGATTGGTGGCCCTATTCTCTGTTTGTCTGGAAATGGATGACAGAAAAGGAATCACGTGATGATTACCTGTTGTGTTCCCTTCCTCTGGGAAATCTGGTATTAGTATCCTGTCTGCCAGCAGCAGCCGGGCTAGATGAAACTTTTGTCTGACTTTTTATGGCTGTTCTTATGTTATGTTCCTAAGTATTTCACTGGCAGTGCACACATCTTCTGGAAAACACACATTAATAAGGCACATAGTACACGTGATCTAGTTCAGTTGTCCTCAGTCAAAAGTATGTATGCCCTGGAAGGTATGCAGAGGTCTTCCAGTGGGTATATCAGCTCATGTAAGTATTTGCCTAATATTACAATAGGCTGCATAAAAAACACTAACAAAGTCACTACCAACTAAAATATCATATAGACAATGACTTATTGATACTGCTGTATATACTAGGGATGTAAAAACCCTTTTAATTGGTTAACCAGTTAAACATTAAGTTTAATCAGTTAATGGGTTAAAGGGAGGGGATTTAGGGGGACTGTTTCAGTGCAGATGGGCTGGAGTGGCCCCCACTGCCGCAGGCAGGGTCTGCTCCAGCCCGGCTCTGTCTGTGGTAGGACCAGGCATGTGACAGGCAGGAGATGCTCTGGTTGTGATGCTTACTGGGTAATAATTAACCAGTGTGTGGGGTTGAGATTGAGCGCTGAGAGCCCACCCCGAGCAGGATTGGGAGCAGGGGCCCCACATGGTGGGGACTACTCCAGCCAGTCTGGAGCGGTCCTTCATCCGGGATTCCACTTAGTCAGTTAACCTAACGTTTAACCAGTTAACTGACTAATCAGGATTTTACATCTCTAATATATATTACACACGGACATGTAAGTACAATATTTATATTCCAATTCATTTATTTTATAATTATATAGTAAAAATGAGAAAGTAAGCAATTTCTTGGTAATAGTGTGCTGTGGCACTTTTGTATATGTATGTCTGATTTTGTAATCAAGTAATTTTTAAATGACATGAAAGTTGGGCTATGCAGGTCAAATCAGACTTCAGAAAGGGGTACAGTAGTCTGGAAAGGTTAAGAGCTACTAGTCTAAATAGGATTAGAAGGACAGTTTTGACTGCAAGGTTTTTCTTAATTCATAGACAAAACAAGATTGCAAGGTGTTTTTGTTTTGTTTTGTTTTTGGTCAGCATTAGAAAGACACAATGACCTTAACATCTGCTATTGGAGCACTGAAAAATAAGAGAGGACAAAATAGTTAACTGGTTAACCTTTCACATCTCTAATACTAAACAGACAGTGGAGTAAAAGGACATAATAAGACAATATTGATCAGCATGACCGGTGGTAGTCTCAGGACACGTATTGATGTCTGATTTGTGGAACACATGAAAGATAATTTTTTTCATGGATAAAGGTAGTAATCATTCTAATTCTCAGATCAAATGTTACAAGTGAGGCCAACTTCACTGATTTCAGATCTTTTATATGTTGCATTTTATTTCAAAATCATTAATCAAGCTCTTTTGGATTTATTTAAGGATGTTGAAAAAAGTGTTCCTGTTCAAGTCTTTGAAGAAGAACACTTAGCTCCCATTTCTGAGTGCAGCTTGACTCCTGATAACAAAAGGTGACCTTTCATTTGTATTTCATATCTAAATATAAATAGAGAGGAGAAAATAGTGTTGTTTGAGTGTTACATGTTATATTTTTCCAACAAATGAAAAATGCCAGAACAAAATTCAGAACAAATAAACTGCGTATTGCTTTGATGCTTCCAGATGGTTTTGTTAGAGAGGAATTAATCTTTTCTAAATACACATAGATAGGTATGTTGAAGGTGATTAAACAAGTATAGATAATAAACTGTTATGCTCATTAGCTTATCTTTTACCATTTAATATTACTTTTATAATGCAGTAATATAAATTATTGTTTTAGTGTAAACTCATGTGTTTGAAATTAGACACTAAATTCAGTATTCTGTTATTATATTTAGAGCATTAGCATTTACAGAAATAACCATGATCATTATACCACACAGTAAAAGTTGCAATCCACTTCTAGCTGATTCTGAACTCAGTATTAGTTTTCTCTCTAAAATCCACAAAAAAGGCATTAGCTCAAACATCATAGTTTAGCCATCATAGAATTGTTCCTAAATGTGAAGAGAATTGTGCAAAAGTTTCCAAAATTATGAGATCCCCACAGAAACCAAAAATTCTTCTGTTTTTGACTCACTGAGCAAACTCCCCTGACTGAATGAAGGAGAGAAACTTAGGGCAAGTCTACACTATAGACCTATATCAGTATAACCATGTCATTCAGGGTACGTCTAGACATCAGCGTTATTCCGAAATAACATTTCAAAATAATGTTGAGCTGGAGGACTTCTTACTTGGACTCATGGTAACCCTCATTTCACAAGAAGTAAGGGAAGTTGAAGGAAGAATGTTCTTCCTTCGAATAAATTAAGCTATTTTGACTTAAGCTACACAATTGAAGTTGTAGCGGAAGTGGCATAGCTTAATTTAACGTTAGCCCTGCTGTGTAGATGTACACTTGTGGGGGGTCGAAAAATCCATACTTTTGTGTGATGTAGTTATAGCGAGATAACCCTCCATGTAGACAGTGCTATGTTAAGAGGAGAGTTTCTCCCATTGATATAACTATGCCCTCCTGGGTGCAGCTTCTCCTGTCAGCATTGGAGTGTCTAGACTTAACTGTAAGGGTACGTCTAAACTACATGGCTCCGTCGACGGAGCCATGTAGTTTAGACGTACCCTTACAGTTAAGTCTAGACACTCCAATGCTGACAGGAGAAGCTGCACCCAGGAGGGCATAGTTATATCAATGGGAGAAACTCTCCTCTTAACATAGCACTGTCTACATGGAGGGTTATCTCGCTATAACTACATCACACAAAAGTATGGATTTTTCGACCCCCCACAAGTGTACATCTACACAGCAGGGCTAACGTTAAATTAAGCTATGCCACTTCCGCTACAACTTCAATTGTGTAGCTTAAGTCAAAATAGCTTAATTTGTGTTTTGAAACTATCTAGCGCGCTGAGCGGACAAACAGCTGATCAGCTGTTTGTTGGCTCAGCACAGCAACCATGTAAATTTAAATGAAGCCGCGATCATTTAAATCGCGGCTTCATTTGACTTTGCCTATGTGTCTAATCTACATGCCTCTGACGACAGAGGCATGTAGTCTAGACACAGCCTAACAGTGGTGCTGTGCCCATAATTTAGATGTAGCTAAGACTTTCCGACAGATTGTTGGTTTAAGAATAATTTCAGAAGATATTAACTTGACTGGGAATGTTGCTAGAAATCTTTTAGCATGTCAGATAATTGCCTGAGACCTAGGCTTTCATTTTTTGGAAGAAGAAAAAAAAAAGGGCCTCATAGTATATTTTTTAAATATTTTTTGCACACATTATCTTCAGTAATTTTCACTATTAGATTTTTTTTATTGTGAGACATCTTTATTCTACAAAATGAGAATCTTGAGATGATGGTATCTTGAGAGAATGAAACATCTGGGTGCTGGAGTAAATCCCATAAGCTGAGGCCCACTAGGGATATGGCTACATGTAGTGGGGTGGAGTGCCCCCCCCCCACTGACTCTGAGGGGGAGGAGCCCCTCCCTGAGCATTGGTGGGCAGCACCTGGCCGTAGCAACTCACCTGGGCGGAAGTCACGAGGCAGGGCCAGGGGTATAAAAGGCCTGCCAGAGAAGTCAGTCAGGCCCCAGTGAGCAAGGAAGCCAGAAGCCTCCCCAGCAAAACCAAGCAAGGAGCTAGACTCTGGGGAAGCTGATGACTGGCCTGGGCTGCCAGGCCCACTGCTGGAGGACTGCCTGGAGAGTTTGTTTACTTGGCTGTAGGACTTCGAACTACAGTGCCCAGATGACCTGCTCCGGACCCAGGTACAACCCAAGGGGGGAAATGGAAACAGCCCAGTAATAGCTGACCTCTGTTTAGCAGAAGGCCCGCATGTTGTGGTATGGACCCCCACTGACCCAACAGCAGAAGGTCAGTGTGTTGCGGTATGGATCCCTGATGACCCAGCAGCCATCTGCTCTGCTGCTGTTAGGGCCCTGGGCTGGGATGCAGTGGAGTGGGTGGGCCTGTCCCCCCCCCTGCTACTCCACTCTCAGGTGGCAGTCCCCCTCCCTCAGCTGGTCCTGTTCAGCCACCTGCATCTGCCGGACCCCAGCCTGAGCAAGGGGTCCCATCTGGGGCTATTGCAAATGGGCCTTGAGCTATTGGTGTCTGCTTCACTGCAGCCCTGCTCTGAACCAAACCCTGGTTCAGGGCAGGTCTGCAGTGAAGCAGACACCAATTGCTCAAGGCCCATTTGCAAACTGTTTCCCTGCAGCTCCGCACTGGACCAAGGCTCAGATTTATAAACTGCTTCTCTGCTTGCCCCACTCTGAACCAGGACTTGGGTATACAAACTGTTTCCCTGTAGCTTCGCCTTGAGCCAGGGCTCAGACTCATAACTGCTTACCTGTACTAACCGTCTAGTTACTTGTTACCTCTCCCTGAAGTAGGGTTGGGCCTGAGGATGGTTCTTGGGGTATATTGTCGCCCTGCCTAGAACAAGAGCTGGCATGTAAAGACTTCTCACTGTAGACTGTATGTTGTGGTAGTGGGGCGGATTGGCTGTCCACTGACCCCTAGGTGGGAGGAGCCTCTTCCTGATCCTCACTGGGCTACACTACACTGCAGAGTTTTTACGGAAAAACTACACGTACGTCCACACTTTTTGCCGTTGGCTAAGTGTTTGAAGATTGCTAAACAGATAAGCAAACATTCATAGTTTGGTGACTTTATATCTGTTTCCAGTAAAAAATACCACTAATACATGAATTAGATATGGCCTTTATGTATCAGATAATTCCTAATATAGAGCAGAAAATACATTGTTAGATATTTAAGTACAAATGTGTTTAAAATGAAAAGCTATAATCATAAAATGATATTTTTAGATTGTCAGAAGATTAATATATGAAGTTCCTTGCTGTCTAGTTTCCTTTTATTCTGTTAATATATTTAAAATACATTTTCTTATTGAACTTGTATAAAATAATATTCAGTGACATTGTAATAAATGTGAGCTCCCATTTACCTGAAAGCTGTCAGTTTGTAGTATACTTCATTAAATGTATTTGTTTTGTAATGTGGCTTTGTATTTGTGCATAGCAAGATTAGTGGTGTTACACAGCAATATCAACTGCTGAAAATGCAAAAAAACTAGCAACCAAAACACTTCACATTCAGAACAACAAAAACACCATAACTGCTTTAAAATAAAATAACTTGTAATAAGGTGAAATAAAAATGAGTAGGCTCTCTGCACTACAAATTACATTCAAGGCATTTTTTGTTACTTTCTACTTCAAAAAAATCCAACTTCTATTTCAGAATTAACTAACACTTTTTTGGCAATAGCTTATGCAAAGATATAAAGATATAAAAGCAAAATACATTTCCTAAATTATTGGGAAGTAGAGAGAACAAATAATTAACAAAAAACTAAAGGTGTGTGAGAGTTTTTTCCATAAAGACAGCTTTTTATTGTTTCTGCTCTATAGCATTTTAAGTCTGATTTCTTTTAATGGAAACATTGATTGTTGTTTTTTATCTTAATATGTTTCATTTTTAGAGTGATAACATCATCATATGATAAAACAGTAAAGGCTTGGGATATGGAAACAGGAAAAATGCTTGTATGTACTGATTTTTTTCAATGCTTTTCAGAAATGTATAACATCAAATTCATAAAGATTTTGAAATTAGAAGTATAGTAAAAAATGGAACCATCACATGGGGTAGCAATGTGGTCTAGTTGGAGTCTGCAGGCTCAGCTGTGAGAGCGGTCGCCTGAAGTGGGTTTTACCCATGAAAGCTCATGATACTATATATTTGTGTTAGTCTCTGCGGGTACGTCTACACTGCACAGCTTTTTTAGGATACTGGAGGCATCCAGAAATAGCTACCCCGCATCTACACAAGCCGCCAGTTATTTAGAAATAATTTTCGAAATAACGGGCACGCTATTTTGGCATCCTGGTAACCCTCATTCCACTAGGGTTAAGGGATGTCCCAAAATAGCACGTTATTTCGAAATTTGGAGCTGTGTAGATGCACCAAATTTCAAATTTCAAAATAGATTTGAAATAAGATATGCAATTTTTGTAGCACAAATTGTGTATCTTATTTCGAGGTTAGGGTGCTGTATAGACACACCCTAAGGTGCTGCAGGACTACTTCTTGTTTTTAAAGTTACAGACCAACATGGCTACCCCTCTGAGACTGTTTAACTGTGTGAGGCATGTCAGTTTGGTGATGTACCTCAGTTACCTCATCTGTAAAATATCATAAGAATGATTACCTACCCCAAAAGGCTACTTTGAAGATGAATTCATTTAATATTTGTCTAAGTTCTTCTAAGTTTTTCTAAGTTCTAAGACATCAGCTGGCCAATGCTATTTAATTTTAAATTTCCTGTTAATGCAAAATATTAAGGGGGCTTAAAAATTGAAATACTGAAACACACATCTCTCAGAACTTGTTAAAATACCAGTGGCAGAAAGTATTCCTTCTGCAACTATTTACTGATTATAGAAAAAATGATAGTTTCTTATCTCATAACCAATCTCAAAAAGCATGACTTTAAAACCATTTATTTTCTTTTTCAGTGGACCGTGGAGCAAGAAGGCCTTGTAACTTCATGTAATATTTCTTGTGATGGTAAATATGTGGTATCTGGGTTGGACATGGAAAATGCTATATGTGTTATTGATGCAGTAAATGCCATAACAGTGGCATATGTCCAAGGTAATAATTAAAATCTTTACATTGTTTTGTTCAGTTCTTTAGTGTTGCATCTGATGAGATAATTTTTGTTTTGTTACATAAAGTCATAAAAACTAGATTAATATTAAACTCAAGATCAATTAGATTCAACTAGTTTTTTGTAAGGTTGGAGAAATAAAGTAATATGTAAGGAAGGGTAAGCAGAATATAATAAGTCATATCACAGACCTGCTGGATTTTCTTTCTATAAGATTTTTTTATCCTGTTATAGTTTGCACAACTTTGTCAGTATGTATTATATGAGTGTGTGTGTACAAGAATCTTAACCATTTATGTGAGTTAGCAGTCTGCTATTCACCCTTCCTTTTTCTCCAATTTCTTTCCTCTCTCTCTGAAGTGTTTGTTTTCTGTAATAGACTCCTTCTAGGATTTTTAATTCTAGATTTTTCAGGATCAGCAGATTGGTGTTGTCTGGTCTGAGAGCTGCATTTGCGGTTCACTGGTGATGGAATTTATCCCATGTCACTAGGTCTGATTAGGCATTTTGAATTACTTAAAACCCATATAATTCTGTGGGTCTGCACTACCCTTGTGTACTCTTTAAGTGGTAAAGAAGGGCTTGAATGGGATGCTGGAGCAATGGCTACCCTGTAGCCTTCTTGCGGAAAAGCTTATGCAAATGAAGCGCTGCACTTCATTTGCATAATTAATTAGCAGCCACTTTTGTTCAAGAGGCTTTTGAACAAAAAAGAGCTGTGTAGATGGCTCCTTTTTGTGCAGAAATCCCCTGTTATCGCGTTCCCGTTGCCCACCTTAGTCCGCGGGAAAGTCTATAGTTCGTGTCCCGGGAGAAAGTTTCCATGTCCTTTGTTAGTTCCCCAACAGGAGGGGTTTGCACGGTGAGGGGGAAGGGAGGCCTGGGCCTGCCCTCACTCCGGTCTCAGCCCAAGACCCTAAGAACAGGCACTGCTCATTCCTGTTCGACCGGTGGGGGAGTCTGTCCCGAAACTCACCGGTCCGTGGGCTACCTACTGCCCCGTCCTAGGCTTCTTCCTTCCTTCCTTCCTTCCTTCCTTCCTTCCTTCCTTCCTTCCTTCCTTCCTTCCTTCTCTCTCTCTTCCTCTGGCTCCTGCTGGATGCCTGGCTCCAGCTCCAGTCGTCGTCCGGGGCTCCGGTCACTCCCCCTTCTTGCCCGGCACTATCCCTCTTTTAAAGCTGGCACCCTGACTTCAGGATGCCAGCGCATGCGCTCCTCGCCACCGTGGGAGGCCCGTGGCCCGGGGCACCCGTAGTGTCCAGCGCAGGCGCCGCCTGGGTCCTCATGGCAAGCCCCGCTGCCCTGCTGGGCTGCTGGCTGCCCATGTGTTCGCTCTCTGACTCCGCCCGGGGCTGCCGGGCAGAGCTCAGCTCTCACCGGGTTTCCGGCTGGCTTTAGTGCAGGGAGCGGGGCTACGGTCCTTGGATCCCACCGCCCCATCACACCCCCTTTTCCTGAAAAAATGAGAAAGAGCGGCTCTTGTGCAAGAAGGGGTTTTTGTGCAAAAAGGAGCTGTCCATACAGTTCCTTTTTGCGCAAAAGCCTTTAGCGCAAAAGCAGCTGCTAATTAATTATGCAAATGAAGCACGGCGATATTCCATGCCATGTGTCATTTGCATAAGCTTTTCCGCAAGAAGGCTACAGTGTAGCCGTAGTCTAGGCGAGTTGCATCCCAGATCTGGTGACACAAGTTAATATTTCCTTCTGTTTTCTTTCCAAAACCTCTGTGATAGCTACTATGCTATAAACACCAGGAACTGGAGGAAGATGAGATAAGTGGTAGATTGATGATAACATGGTTCATGAGTCTACTTGTGGACTCATAAATAAACATGTAAGACTGAATTCCAGTGGTTGCTTTGCAGTAACCAAGAAGTCGTGTGTGTTTTCTGTATGTACATAAATGTATTGTCAAGTTAAGCTAACAAATATCATCTTACATTGTTACAATTTTTAATTATCTAATTTACTTTCCATAGTTCATTTAATTTTTCTTTCTAAAATTTCCTTCTCTTTGAAAACTGAAAACTGACTATAAATTATATTTTTACAGACCATATTCTGGCATAATAATATATGTTTGAGATGCAAACACTACAAGGTCATGTTTATTTGATTTAAAATAATCTTTCCATGCCTGTTGTAAAGAAGTTCATGGAAAAACTCATCCTAGAGTTTATAAGAACTTGTATCTATAAAAACTATGTTGTGGACCAAAATTAGCCTGACAGTTGTTTTTATTTTTAAGCATTCTCGTTTTAAAGCAATTTGATCACCGATACTGCAGTTCAGCAAGTACATCAACACATTTTTAAGGACTTGATTCTGGGATATGCTGAACACTTTCATTTCCCACTGATGCCAGTGGGAGCTGACGATGCTCAGTATGTTCCAAAATCAAGCCCTAAACATGGGGAAAATCTTATAAATTAAAAGTTAAATGTGTATTTAAGTGCTTTGGTGAAATTGCTTGTTCTTAAGCCAGTAGTACACTACAACTGAATGTAGTTTCAAGGTGGACAACCCTTATGCCTTAAAGGGACATTGTCAGTACAGAGTTGGGTTACATGGACTTTAATGGAACTACTTACATGCTTAGAGTTTAATCATGTACTTTGCTAGTTCAAGATTTGAAAGCTTACAAATCAATGGAATGGTGAGCTAGTGACTTATTTTTAGATTCATTACAAACAAATCTACAAAGTTACTACTCCTTTACATTTTAAATTTTAATTTAAGGCACTTTATAAGGATATGTTTTAATAAAGTTATTGGTCAAAAGACAGCTGAGATTTATTCATAACCAAGGAAAACTTACTTTTTCCCATAATTTTTCCAATGCAGTGTATTGTTTTTACTGGAGTTTATTGTATCCTTTCAACTGAACTGTGATACAAGAAAGACCTTTCCATGAGCTTGTTTTATATTCAAACTGGATGATTATCATGGTTTAAACAAAATTCCACCTACGATATATTGGATTTTGAGTTGTACCATGTACTTCAAATGTTCTTTAACTTTTTCCAATTTATTTTTCTCATGCAAATTCTAATCCCATTGTTGAGATTATTGCAAATTAATGTTTAGATTAAAATGACTTTAATTTTATAGATTGAAGATGGTTTCAGCATCTACCGATGCTAATTTATTGATTGGAAATATTTACAAAGAGGATAGTTTTACTGTGTGTCATAAAGGTATCTCTCATGGCAGAATATCTGACAACTAATATAACAAAACCAGTGAGGAGTCAGTATTTTCATAATAGAATTTCACTTTGGTAATACATTAGTAGTAAACATAAGATTTATATTTGCAAGTCTACAGTTTTATAGAATTGCTTAATGAATCTATGATATTTCAATTTAATGTAAGATCCTCTGATCCTTGAAGAATGCAGGTTGTCAAATCAAGTCGGATGCCTGCAAGATTAGTGCTCATCTCTTTGCTTCAAAATTGCCTTTTGGTTTAGATATAGGTTCTTAATCCTCCTCTCATGTAGTGACAGCACCACAACACCCTTTTTCCTGTTTAGGGATTAGGGTAAGTGATCTCTCCTGTCCTTGCTGCCTACACTATTCCTAAGATTAGCCAAGAATCTGTGCTTAAAGAGTGAAGTGCTGTGCTCTTCTCTAAAGAACAAGCTAGCATATCAACTTCATTGCAAATTTGGATTGCCTGGATATAATCCAATTTAGTTCTTTCCCAGGTGACCAGCAAGACTGGTTTAGCAGAGAGACTTATCTCAAATCATCAGTGATTATTTTGGCATGACATTCTTTCTATGATAGTTAAAAGAATTGTTATAAATTACCAATTAAAATCAGTGGTTAATATATTTTTAAAATAAATTTAAAAAACAACAAATAATCTGTTATCACTTTAAAGACTAACAAAACATGTAGATGGTATCATGAGCTTTCGTCAGCACAGCCCCACTGTCATCTGAAGAAGCGGGCTGCGCCCACGAAAGCTCATGATACCATCTACATGTTTTGTTAGTCTTTAAAGTGCTAACAAACTATTTGTTGTTTTTTAAGTTTATCCTGTACAGACTAACTCCGCTACCCCCTGAATATTTTTACAAGTTTATGTTTGTTGAGGATTCTCACTCTTGGACTCCAGCTCCCTAGTGTAAAATAGGAGGAGCTATCTCCCCAAACTCTTAGGCTACGTCTACATTGGCCCCTTTTCCAAAAGGGGCATGCTAATTTTACAGGTCGTAATAGGGAAATCCACGGGGGATTTAAATATCCCCCGCGGCATTTAAATAAAAATGTCCGCCGCTTTTTTCCGGCTTTCAGAAAAGCCGGAAAAGAGCGTCTACACTGGCCCCGATCCTCCGGAAAAAAGCCCTTTTCCGGAGGATCTCTTATTCCTACTTCAAAGTACTTCAAAGTAGGAATAAGAGATCCTCCGGAAAAGGGCTTTTTTCCGGAGGATCGGGGCCAGTGTAGACGCTCTTTTCCGGCTTTTCTAAAAGCCGGAAAAAAGCGGCGGACATTTTTATTTAAATGCAGCGGGGGATATTTAAATCCCCCGCGGATTTCCCTATTACGACCTGTAAAATTAGCATGCCCCTTTCGGAAAAGGGGCCAATGTAGACGTAGCCTTAAGGTTTTAAGTCCAAAGGTTAGTGATAATAGGTAAGTAGAGAGCCACCAAGCCTATACTGGTGTTTCATGCCCAAGGTTTAATTGCTTGTTCACGTTATTGTTATTGGACTTGTTCTTGTTACCTATTGAGATTAGTCTTTTGGGGTTATTCCTAGCGCTGCTTACTCTCTAGCAATTAGAGTCTTGGCTAGAAGATATCATTAGAGAAGGGGGAATGGTGACCTGCTTCTCTGAAGCATTTTACATGATACTCTTATTCACTCTCCCTACCTACCTCCTCTCAAAGTTCAGAAGGGAATTTCTGGGGTGAATTTTTTTCTTACACTTTGATATTATAATTTTCTATCTTTTGACAGATTACATTTTCAAACATTTTGTTGTGTTATTATCCAATTTTGTTTGTTTTTCTTTTCCTTTCTTGTTTAATCAGGAGTGGGTGATTTGAAGGGGAATAAGTTAATGCAGCTGTTTTGTATGATCACAGTTGCAAAGGAAAGGGGGATTGTGCTTCTGTTTACCCATGTAGGGGTAAAAAACCCTTAGGAGTTTAGGGAGTTCTGCCTTTGTTGAGCTAAAGAGCGGAGATCTAAATGTGACAATCTTGACAATAGCATATTCAGGGAATCAGAATTACAAGGTAGGTAATATTCTCATTTTGGTTTTTATTACAGATCATCACAGAAGCACAGTCACAAGATGTTGTTTTGATCCTGACAATGAGAGAGTCTGTTCAGTATCATGTGATAAGACCATAAAGCTTTGGGACATTATAGCACAATCCACCACTATTACTATTGATGAGTAAGTAAGTGGACTAAGTTATTTCAAAATAATGTTAGTTATTTCAAAATAATGTTGCTGTGTAGAAGTACCCTGATAGATCCAACCTGTCTATCCAATCTGCTCTTAAATATCTCTAGTGATGGAGATTCCACAAACTCCCTAGGTAATTTATTCCAGGATTTCACCACCCTGACAGTGAGGAAGTTTTTCCTAATGTTCAACCATAAACCTGTCTTGCTGCAATTTAAGCCCATTGCTTCTTGTCCTATCATCCAGGGCCAAGGAGAACAATTTTCTCCCTCCTCCTTCTAACACCATTTTAGATGCTTGAAAATACTTGAAAATGGCTATCATGTCCTCTCTGTCTTCTCTTTTCCAAACTAAACAAGCTCAATTCTTTCAGTCTTCCCCTCTTGGTCATGTTTTCGAGACCTTTAATCATAGGATAGGCCATTGACCTATAGAAATAATGATTCAAAGAAAAAGGCTGAAGTGGTCTGGACATTTTGTACAGGTGTCAATAAGGTGTATTTTCTAGACAAGCCCTCGATACCATACCATCTGGTAGAAGACAGAAAGGAGGACAACAGATGACATGTAAGAAAACTTGATAAAAATATCCTTTGTTATGAAAACAGACAATAATAGAGCAAGAAACATGGCATTAGACTGATGGTGGAGGGAATATTTGGTATCCTTATATTAAGCTATGTCTACACTGCACAGTTATTTCGGAATAAGCTATTCTGGAAGAGTTATTCCGAAATGGCTTATTTTGAAATAGCACATCTATACTGCAGAGAAGCCTCAAAATTCGTCCGAGGCAGGCTTCTTTAATGTAGACGTGCTATTTCAATTTAGAGCCCCAGGAGGAATAACTTTGAATGGCTCTGGTGAGGGGTTATTTCGAAATAGAAGTGGAGTGTCTACACATGCCTTATTTTGAAATAGCTATTTTGGAATAGGCATTATTCTTCGTAGAATGAGGTTTACAGAAGTTGGAATAAGCCATCCATTATTTTGAAATTATTTTGAAATAACAGAATTGCTATGTAGACACTTGCATAGTTATTTCGGAATAACAGCTGTTATTTCGGAATAACAGCGTACTCCTCTCTATTTGGGAGAGTTAGTTTACAAAGGAAAAGCTCATTCCCTAGCACTCTAATTTCTTTAGATGCTTTTCTGGAAAGGTCTGAATTTAGGATTAACAAGAGCATATCATACTATAGTAAGAATTCATATGGCAAGAGAAAAGTAGAGAATAGGTAATAAAATGAATGTATTAAATGTATAATGAAAAAATGATTTATGGCCTAAGTCAATGCCCATTGAAGTAAATGGAAGAGTTTCTGTTAACTTCAATGGCCATTGGATCTGGTCCATTAAGCCAGTTTTTCATAGGTATTTAGGCAACTGAAGATGAGATTGTCACTTCGTGGAATTTATGAAAGCACCTGTATGAAACAGGCACTTAACTCCCATTGATTTCAATAGAAGTTAAGCACCTAACTTGCTTAAGTGCTTTTGAAAGTACCACAAGGCTCTGCATTTTTAGATGCCTATACGTCTGTGAACATTAAGCCTATTGTGCCTAATTGTATGCTGCCTGATTGGGTGGTACCATTTTATATACACATGGAAATATTAATGCAAAGAACTCTGAGCAAGAGTAATTAAAATAGGTTAAAAATAGTACTGTATAAATTAGGGTTGGGAACTTCTGGCCCATGGGCCCGCCGTGGCTTGCGAGGGTTAGCCACTGGTAGGCCGTCACTGTTTACCTGAGTGCCTGCTGGCATGACTAGTCATTATTAAACTTCATCCTATTCACCTCTAACCATTTCTCTAGTTAGTCCAGATCATTTTGAATTACTATGGCCTTATCCTCCAAAGCATTTGTAACCCATCTCAGCTTGGTATCCTCTGCAAACTTAATAAGTGTACTCTCTATGCCCGTGGTCACCAACCAGTAGATCGCGATCTACCGGTAGATCTCGGAGGCTCTAAGAGTAGCTCTTGAGCCCTCTCTGAACTGCGCGCCTGTGCACTACATTTACATTAGATTTCCTCATTTGAGGAGCAGCTACTCACTGAGCAACAGCACAGGTGAGTAGATGCGAGGAATGGTAGGAATATTTTTTTAAAGTAACAGTATAAAGTTTGGGGATAGCAAGTGATAGAGAGGAGGAGAATAGAGAGGGCGGGGCTTCAAGGAAGGGGCGGGGCAGTAGCTCTTGGCTTGGTCTGTCATTTAAAAGTTATCTTGGGTATAAAAAGGTTGGAGACCACTGCTCTATGCCAATATCTAAATTTTTGATGAAGATATTGAAGAGAACCTGTCCCCAAAACAGACCCCTGTGGAACCCCACTTGTTATGCCCTTCTAGCATGACTGTGAACCATTAATAACTACTCTCTGGGAATGGTTATCCAGCCAGTTATGCACCCCCTTATAATAGCCCCAATAGGTTGTATTTCCCAATAGTTTATTGATAAAAAGGTCTTGCGAGACTGTATCAAATGCTTTACTACAGTCTATGTCCGTGGTCACCAACCCATCAACCACGATCGACTGGTCGATCACGAGGCCTCGACCAGTTGATCATGCGGTGTTCGGGCACCACCACCCTCCATTTTCCCCCCACCCCTGAGAAGCCCCACTACCTACCTCTAGTGTAGTGCCGGCTTCCTGTGGGGTGGACAGAAGTCCTGTCTGAAGCCCACATCACTTCCGGGGGTTCCGGAAGTGCGCTGGCTTCTCTCCTCCCACAGCTCTGTCACGTGCTGGGGGAGGGGACATCGGCCCCGGAAGAGGAATATGGCGGCTTCCCTGCACTGCTGGCGCTGGAGGGGTGAGTTGAGCGCAGGAGTTTCCCTGCGCCGCAGGAGCAGGGGTCGGCCCCGGGGTTTGGGCTGCGCTGCGGGAGGGGCGTTTGGCCCCGGGGCAGGCACCCGCGGGGGTTTGGCCCTGCTGTGGGAGAGAGGGTTTGGCCCCGGGGCAGGTGCCCGTGAGGGTTTGGCTGCACTGCAGGAGGCACGCGCCGGCTTCCCTCAGGGGTGTGGGGGGGAGAATCCTGGGAGGAGGCGATAGCAGGAGACTCTCTGCCTCAGTCCCCTCTCCCGTCTCCAGCTGCAGAAACCTGTCCGCACTGGCACCCTGTCCAAACACGTTCCCTGTCCTTCTCAGAAATAAAGACAACGCAGAAACTTTTTGTGTTTGACATAGTATTATATTTGAAAATGAAGCCTGGCCAACAAACCCCCAATTGGGGCCAAGCCCCCATCTGGCCACAGCATCATGACCAGGGCTCGG